GGCCGTCTCACACCGGGTAGCTGCAGCTTGAATGACATGGCCGGTGACGAAAAAGTCAGATTTGCAAGCAGCCGACTCGGGCCGTCGTTGTCTGACACGGCGCTTTCCGTCTGACACGTGGCTTCCGCGGCCGACTCGGGCCGTCGGGTTCTGACTCGGAGACCTTACTTCGCTAAGTCAGCTCCGTGTCCCCGTTTCTCTGGCAACTGCGGGCGCGCGCGGATGCCTTGCAGGCTTTGCGTTGCGCGCCTCCGCGCGGTTCGTCCCCCAGCTTGTCTCCCAGTTTCCTAGCGCATGCGTATGAGTTGCAACGCCGCGCTTGGAGCTGCAGGATGCCCTGCGGCGCCACAGCGCAGGATGCCTTGCCTTCAAGAACAGGATTCTTGGTCTTGAAGTGCAAGATGCCCTGCCTAAGTGCAGGATGCCCTGCGGTCCAACGCAGGATGCCCTGCCTTCAAGGCCAGCATGCTTGGTCTTGGAGTGCGGGATGCCTTGCTTAAATGCACAAGCGCGGTCCAAAACCTGACACGGAAAGAAAAAAACAACGCAAACAGAAGCAGACGGCCTCAAACAAAACCACGCAGAGCCTGCCGATCCAAAACAGCCCAACAGCACGGCGGCGCCGCACAGCAAACCAAACGGCATGAAGCAACTGCGGGCGCGCGCGGATGCCTTGCAGGCCTTGCGTTGCGCGCCTCCGCGCGGTTCCTCCCCTGGCTTGTCTCCAAGTTTCCTAGTGCGCGCGTATGCATTGCGACGCCGCGCTTAGAGATGCAGGATGCCCTGCGGCGCCACAGCGCAGGATGCCTTGCCTTCAAGAACAGAACTCTTGGTCTTGAAGTGCATGATGCCCTGCCTAAGTGCAGGATGCCCTGCGGTTCAACGCAGGATGCCCTGCCTTCAAGGCCAGCATGCTTGGTCTTGGAGTGCGGGATGCTTTGCTTAAGATGCACAGGCGCGTTCCCAAAACTGACACGGATAAGAAAAATACCGCAAGCAGAAAGCAGAGGCCTCAAACAAAACCACGCAGAGCCTGCCGATCCAAAACAGCCCAACCGCACGGCGGCGCCGCACAGCAAACCAAACGGCATGAAGCAACTGCGGGCGCGCGCGGATGCCTTGCAGGCTTTGCGTTGCGCGCCTCCGCGCGGTTCCTCCCCCAGCTTGTCTCCAAGTTTCCTAGTGCGCGCGTATGCATTGCGACGCCGCGCTTAGAGATGCAGGATGCCCTGCGGCGCCACAGCGCAGGATGCCTTGCCTTCAGGAACAGAACTCTTGGTCTTGAAGTGCAAGATGCCCTGCCTAAGTGCAGGATGCCCTGCAGTCCAACGCAGGATGCCCTGCCTTCAAGGCCAGCATGCTTGGTCTTGGAGTGCGGGATGCCCTGCTTAAATGCACAGGCGCGGTCCAAAACCTGACACGGAAAGAAAAATCCCGCAAGCAGAAAGCAGACACCCTCAAACAAAACCACGCAGAGCCTGCCGATCCAAAACAGCCCAACAGCACGGCGGCGCCGCACAGCAAACCAAACGGCATGAAGCAACTGCGGGCGCGCGCGGATGCCTTGCAGGCCTTGCATTGCACGCCTCCGCGCGGTTCCTCCTCTAGCTTGTCTAGTTTCCTAGTGCGCGCGTATGCATTGCGACGCCGCGCTTAGAGATGCAGGATGCCCTGCGGCGCCACAGCGCAGGATGCCTTGCCTTCAAGAACAGAACTCTTGGTCTTGAAGTGCATGATGCCCTGCCTAAGTGCAGGATGCCCTGCGGTTCAACGCAGGATGCCCTGCCTTCAAGGCCAGCATGCTTGGTCTTGGAGTGCGGGATGCTTTGCTTAAATGCACAGGCGCGGTCCAAAACCTGACACGGAAAGAAAAATCCCGCAAGCAGAAAGCAGACGGCCTCAAACAAAACCACGCAGAGCCTGCCGATCCAAAACAGCCCAACAGCACGGCGGCGCCGCACAGCAAACCAAACGGCATGAAGCAACTGCGGGCGCGCGCATGCCTTGCAGGCTTTGCGTTGCGCGCCTCCGCGCGGTTCCTCCCCCCGCTTGTCTCCAAGTTTCCTAGTGCGCGCGTATGCATTGCGACGCCGCGCTTAGAGATGCAGGATGCCCTGCGGCGCCACAGCGCAGGATGCCTTGCTTTCAAGAACAGAACTCTTGGTCTTGAAGTGCAAGATGCCCTGCCTAAGTGCAGGATGCCCTGCAGTCCAACGCAGGATGCCCTGCCTTCAAGGCCAGCATGCTTGGTCTTGGAGTGCGGGATGCTTTGCTTAAATGCACAGGCGCGGTCCAAAACCTGACACGGAAAGAAAAATCCCGCAAGCAGAAAGCAGACGGCCTCAAACAAAACCACGCAGAGCCTGCCGATCCAAAACAGCCCAACAGCACGGCGGCGCCGCACAGCAAACCAACCGGCATGAAGCAACTGCGGGCGCGCGCGGATGCCTTGCAGGCTTTGCGTTGCGCGCCTCCGCGCGGTTCCTCCCCCAGCTTGTCTCCAAGTTTCCTAGTGCGCGCGTATGCATTGCGACGCCGCGCATAGAGATGCAGGATGCCCTGCGGCGCCACAGCGCAGGATGCCTTGCCTTCAAGAACAGAACTCTTGGTCTTGAAGTGCAAGATGCCCTGCCTAAGTGCAGATGCCCTGCGGTCCAACGCAGGATGCCCTTGCTTCAAGGCCAGCAAATGGGCTTGGTCTTGGAGTGGCGGGCATGCCCTGCTGCTTAAATGAACAGGCGCGGTCCAAAACGGTCGACCTCGGAAAAAAGAAAAATCCGCAAGCAGGAAAGCAGACGGCCTCAACAAAACCACGCAGAGCCTGCCGATCCAAAACAGCCCAACAGCACGGCGGCGCCGCACAGCAACCCAAACGGCATGAAGCAACTGCGGGCGCGCGCGGATGCCTTGCAGGCCTTGCGTTGCGCGCCTCCGCGCGGTTCCTCCCCTGGCTTGTCTCCAAGTTTCCTAGTGCGCGCGTATGCATTGCGACGCCGCGCTTAGAGATGCAGGATGCCCTGCGGCGCCACAGCGCAGGATGCCTTGCCTTCAAGAACAGAACTCTTGGTCTTGAAGTGCAAGATGCCCTGCCTAAGTGCAGGATGCCCTGCAGTCCAACGCAGGATGCCCTGCCTTCAAGGCCAGCATGCTTGGTCTTGGAGTGCGGGATGCCCTGCTTAAATGCACAGGCGCGGTCCAAAACCTGACACGGAAAGAAAATTCCCGCAAGCAGAAAGCAGACGGCCTCAAACAAAACCACGCAGAGCCTGCCGATCCAAAACAGCCCAACAGCACGGCGGCGCCGCACAGCAAACCAAAACGGCATGAAGCAACTTGCGGGCGCTGCGCGGGATTGCCTTGAGGCCTTGCGTTGCGCGCCTCGCGCGGGTTCTCCCCTGGCTTTGTCTCCCTAGTTTTCTAGGTGCGGCGTATGCATTGCGATCGCCGCGCCCCTTAGAGATGCAGGATGCCCTGCGGCGGCCACAGCGGCAGGATGCCTGTTGCCTTCAAGAACAGAACTCTTGGTCTTGAAGTGCAAGATGCCCTGCCTAAGTGCAGGATGCCCTGCAGTCCAACGCAGGATGCCCTGCCTTCAAGGCCAGCATGCTTGGTCTTGGAGTGCGGGATGCACTGCTTAAATGCACAGGCGCGGTCCAAAACCTGACACGGAAAGAAAAATCCCGCAAGCAGAAAGCAGACGGCCTCAAACAAAACCACGCAGAGCCTGCCGATCCAAAACAGCCCAACAGCACGGCGGCGCCGCACAGCAAACCAAACGGCAAGAAGCAACTGCGGGCGCGCGCGGATGCCTTGCAGGCCTTGCGTTGCGCGCCTCCGCGCGGTTTCCTCCCTGCTTGTCTCCCAAGTTTCCTTTAGTGCGCGCGTATGCTTTGCGGACGCCGGCCTTAGAGATGCAGGATGCCCTGCGGCGCCACAGCGCAGGATGCCTTGCCTTCAAGAACAGAACTCTTGGTCTTGAAGTGCAAGATGCCCTGCCTAAGTGCAGGATGCCCTGCAGTCCAACGCAGGATGACCTCCCTTCAAGGCCAGCATGCTTGGTCTTGGAGTGCGGGATGCCCTGCTTAAATGCACAGGCGCGGTCCAAAACCTGACACGGAAAGAAAAATCCCAGACAGCTTCAAACAGTGCTAATTTTCCGCGTGCAGTGACCACGCTTTCTGCGCGGGATGCCTCGAGTATAGGTTCGTTTTCCGCGCGCAGCGGTCGGCATTTGCTCGTGCTGAGCCCGCAGTCTCCAAGATTGGGCGCCGCCGGTCTTCTTGCTCCAGGCTTGTTAGCGCAGGGCACATTACATCGCCATGCTCAAAGGCTTGATTGGAGATAGGCAGTAGTGCCAACTGTTCCAGCTCATGTTGCCAAGCTGAATGCCAGCGAAGTCATTTGTCGCGATGTCCCAGGAGCGGGAAATGTGGTTAATGCGTTTGGGCAGAGGACTGTGGATTGGATTCCCTCCGGGAGAGAGTTTATTAATTTTTATTTTTTGTTTCTTACTTGGGGGGGGGGGGTGGGGGGGGGTGATGTTGTTGCTTTGATAGGGGGGGGGGGGGGGGGTGGGATGAAAGTGATCGGTGGGCGGGGTGGGGGGGGGGGTGGCGGGGGGGGGGGGGGGGGGTGTGGGGGGGGGGGGGGGGGGGGGTGGGATTGATGCGATGATTAGAAAAACGATGAAAAATAATTTTCCCCCTCAAGGCGCCACAGTGTTTGCCACATGACATTATTTTTTTGCTCTCCGCTCTACATTTACTTTGTTTGTTTGTTTTTTGGGGGGGTGGGGGGGAATTTTATGAGGAGATCTTTAATAAATATAAAATCGGACGCGTAGCCCATGCCGCACACCATTGACTCCAACGCAAGTGCAGCGCACTCCGAGTCCACAGCAACCAGAAGCCTCATCGCGCTTGCGTCCACTGGTGGGGGGCTTTCGCGGCTCTCCGGGTGGCACTGGCTTCAGCGAAGGGCATCCCTTCTCCCCAACCCAGGTCGACCCAGCACAAGCCGACCCGGACCCCTTGGCCAGCGCTGACTTGGACGGAGTGCACGCATGCGTCGCTGAGTACGCCGCGCCGCTCCTGCGACGGCTACGGGGGCCACAAGCAGACTGGCCTGCGGCGGAGGATTTCGCCAAGATTCCTAACTGGCCAGCGCATGCTGTCCCACGCCCGGCAGCCTTGTGCTTTTCTGAGATTGCCAGTCTGGGCTCCGAGAAAGCAGACTTGGACGCCGCTGGCTCTCGCCTGTTGCCATCTTGCTGTAGTGCTTTGCCGGTTGAGGTGGCCCTTCTCTGCCTCTCGCGCTGCACAGGGTTCCCGGACAAGCTGGTGCATCAGGTTTGGTCGACAATGCTCGCTGCGTGCTTGCATATTGACATGCAAGTGGAATTGAAGGCAACTTTATCAGTCACCCCGAGGGTGCCGTGCATCGGCATTGCAGCCCCGGGGTCGAAGAAGACCCCCGTGCAGCAGGAGTTGATACACAGGGTGTTTTGCGACGTCATGGATCGCATGCCCTTCCTCGCGCACAACTCTGCAAGCGCGGGTGAAAGACTTCTTTTCGACGGAGGAAGCACTGCGGGTTTCGTGAAGCAGCTGAAGCAAAACTCCGGCTATATCTACTTAGTTGTAGAGGAGCTAGTCAGCTTCTTCGACGCAAGTTACGCTAGCTCTGGCGCTACGAACACAGGGCAACACGTAGCCCCAAGTACATTGCTTCCACTCAGAACTGGCAATGGCCTCGGCAAGGCCTTGAGCTCTGATTTGTCCAACAGGGTTGACCGGACGCAGGCTGCAATCTCTATGATGGCGCAGGAGGACGTCATTAGAAAGTTCTTTTGCGCGAAGGGCATGTCCGCTGCTTAGCTTGGGCATCGATTGTTAAGCAGCAACGGCACGCAGCTTGCGCCCACCCGTTTGGTATCTTACGCAAGCAGTCGCGTGTGACGATTGTCATGAAGGTGTTTTTGCCCTAACAGCTGGCGGTTTTGGGGGCTTCTGCCATAGTAAAATGGTTCGGCGCAAACACGAAGCGAGTGGTAAATGGATAGGCTCCGGTTGCGAGAGCGGCGCTCTTGAATATTTTGCGAGCTTTTTTTTTTGAGCGACGTGTCTTTGCCAAAAAAAAGTCCTGACATGTAGTCGAGCGCTTGTGGCTGCCTTGGGCTGTGCGTCTGAGGTCCACGGGCTTTCTACAGGGGTGGTGCTTCACCGTGGCCCACGCGCAAGCTTGCCGTTGGGATGACATCGGTGCCTTGCAGCCCATTCGCGAATTTCTTGGCGGAGTCGTAGAAAGCGCGCTGCGGATCTTTGGGCCCGCCAGCTCGGCGCGCAAGTTGTCCTTGACCAACGAGGCCAACAAGCTCCTTGCTCAGGTTCACAATTTCTTCGAAGAGCAAAAACTATCTACGCAGCAGCGGGTGTCAGTCAGGGACTATGTCTCCAAGCACTCGCAATGGATTGGCAGCTACATCGCCGTGGCTCACGTGGAAGAGGAATCTTTGCGCTACCTGCAGTTCACGCTCTGCGCCGTGCCTGCGGTTCAACATCGCACGATGGACCCGAGGGGGAATCCAGCTGATGTCCCCGCACAGTGCGTGTGCGATCTGCCGGTTGTGGTGAAGGTCTGTAAGCGCAAAGGCAAGGGAGCGCAGTCTAATGTCGGGCGGCAGTTCTGGTGCTGCTCCGAAGCAAGTGCCTTGGTCACACAGTTGCAAGGGTCGTTTGCGTCGCTCGGATGTTGCTCTGTTTTTGTGTTTGACGCGCACGGTCCGCGGGTGCGGTCAGGGTGTGCCTTGCCAGGCTCCGAGGATGGCTGCGACTTCTTCAGGTGGTGCGACGAGCCAGCTTCCCTGGGACCCCTGCGGCAAGATCTGTCAGATCTAGTGGACGAGAGGCACGCTGTGGACACCAAGGCCGGCGTCCGAAGCGTTCAGCGAGCGCTTGTCAAGTTCACGGAGGCAGCCTTCTTTCTCAACGTCATTGCCTTTGAGACGGAGATGCGGCTGCAGACCAAGCAGTCACAGGAAATCTTCTGCTCTGGGGATGTTCTGGAGTGCAAAGTATGCGGAGAGCCGATGACATCCACGGAGCGCTTGCTGGCGGAGGTCATGAGAGCACTTCCCGACGAGCAGGAAGTAACGCTCAGCGCTGTGAGAAACTCGGCTCGATTGGGTCGGGCTGCCATGGGCCCTCGTCATCTATCGGCTGCTCAGTTCGATGAGGTTTGCGAGCTGGCACGTGGGCTTGGTATAGCTGATGTCCACCAAAGACGGGCTGGTGGGGCTGCAGGGCGTCAGCAACGAGTGCTTGCAAAGCGTGTTTTGACAGAGGAGACCAAGAGGGCGATGGAAAATTTGCGTGTGCCTCTCTGGTGCTTTCCGGCAGCGTGAGCAGACCCAGCTGCGGAAGGCAAGCTTCACTTTGGCTGCTGATGGGCACGGCTGCCAACGAGCACAATGTCTGCGTTTTGCATGCTTCCGGTTATTCTATATGGTGCGACACGTGGCGTGCCTGCGAGTCGCGGAAAAAAAAGCTTCTGCAGTCCGTGTACTCTGCCTGCGCACGACGTGTTCCAGCTTGCGAGACAGCTGTTTCAAGGCTGAGTTTCCGTGCTTGCTCAGAACGTTCGGCAATTCAAGGCCGGTCCAAGCTTTCAGTTGCTCCAGGCTCTCCCACGCTTCAACGCAGTGTCGTGGAGCATACGTTTCCGGCTCTGCGGGGAAGGTAGCGAGGTCGTCCTTTCGAGCCCCATCAGATGGAGTGGGAGCAGCAGGCCGTCATCCGGCTGTCTCCCGACTTCGATGTGACCAGCCACGCCGAGTGCCGCCGCGCCGTGCTCGCGTGGCTCGCACAGCAGTCCATGGAAGCAAAGATGAAGATTGGCCGCTCAGCTGGTGAGCACGTGGCAGTGTATGCGTATTGCCAAACGCATAAAGACTGTCCTCGCAAGTGGCGTCATATCTTCCAACTCACAGAAGACGGCGCCAAGGAGCACATCGTCCACGTCAACGGCAACCACGCCACGGAGCCCAGGCTGGTTCGAGGCACTGCAGTGGCAGTGCGTCGGCAGGCAGACGCATTGACCGAAGCCAACACGCCAATGCAGGCCATGGTGCAGCTGGCGGCGCAAGGTGCAGAGATGGAGACTTGGCCCTGCACAGCAGCCTTGGTGCAATCTCGCCGGCGAGCCGTGCGGAAAAAGAGCGCGTCGGCAGAGTTCGGTGGAGGCACTGGCTTGGGTCAGTGGCTGGAGCACTTGCGCAAGATCAACGAGGATGGGAGCGTCTGGAGCACCGTGGTGCGCGAGGACGGATGCGGCATCGTCACCTGCCAGAAGTTCGCCGACGCTTCCTGCCTTCAAATTCGCTACGTTCTTGTCTTTGCACCCACAAGCAATCTGCACCCACAAGCAAGTTGGAGGCGACTGATGTTCTCCCTTGCTTTTGTTTCAGTTTCTTTGCCACGCCATTTGATTCAGCTGGTTGTTTTCTCCACTTCGGCGGTGGGATAGGCTGCCGGGCTAGTTGGGGCAGCTGCGCAGCTGAGGCTGCTGCAGCGATGATTGCTCAAGCTCGCGGCGGAGACCATGACTACCTTGTCGGCGTGCATGACTGCACGTACAAGGTCTTTTCCAGCGATTGGGGCCTGTGGAAGTTCTGCTTGTGCGCGAAAAAGTACGACCGCGAAGGTATTCCTCGAACCACTTTGGTGCAAGTAGGCTTGGGCTTTGTGCCCAAAGAAGGGCAAGAGCACATGCTCACGGTGCTGCACCTCATGAAGGAATGGCACTCCTCGAAGAACAATGACTTGAGTCAGTTTCTTCACCAGGTTCACGCTGACGAAAGCTTAGGTGGGCAAAACGCCTTGCGAAAGGCGTTCCCCAAGACTGTGTTCGTCTTAGATGTCCGACACCAGGTGTCATCCATCATGAGGCGCGCCGGCTCCAAGAAAGAGGTGCGGGCAATGGTGGCGGCAAACATGCAGTTTGCGCTGAGTGCTCTGGGATTCTCCAGGCCTTTGTTCAGCCTTTACATTGACAGCCTCTTAGTGAGGTTAGTCGAGCTCGGAGAGCTGGACCTGGCGGCCTATCTGCAGAAAGACGTGGTGGAAAAGGTGACTGTCGAAGGGAAAGAGATGTGGACTTCGGCCTGCTGCTGCTTCATCTCGCTGCTGGGGACTTCCGTGAAGTTCCAGTCCCACGAAGCTTCTCGGCGGCAACTCGCTCCGCCTCTGACTAGGCCCTAGTCCCAAACCCCACCCGCTGAGGCGAATCCTGGGATGACTTCCACCACCATTTCCCAATCGCTCGAAGCTTCCTGGCATCACATGAAGAAGCTCTTGCCTGGCAACGTGGCAAAAATGCCTGCTACAGATGCTTTGAACCACATCCTCAAAGCTACGGAGGCGTGGGATTGCGCCAAGGGTTCCGCTGTGAGCTCTGGTGGGCGCTGTCACTGTTCCACGTGTTTTCGCTCGTGTTGGAAGTATCGTTTAGCGTTTTGTAGGGTAGTGCGCAGCGTGCGGCGCCGCAACGACCAGTCGACTTTGGTGCGCCCCTGCGGCCTCGTCAGGCAAAGTTGGGCGCGGATGACGCCGCCGCGAAGCAGCTCAAGCTCAAGCTGGGCGGTCTCTCTAGCCGCCTGGTCAGCGGCGAAGCCATCTTCACGGAAAGGGTTAAAGTCCTTGACGATCACCAAATGAGGCTGCCGTGCGCACGCTTGCTGTGGCAATCTTGCCCCGGCAACACGAAGAGCTTCGAGTTTGATATTGGTGAGGTCGGCGACGTGCGTCAAGCATTTGTGCTCCCAGTCACAAATGCCTCCATGGTGGTGGACGATGATGTGGCTTGCTGCATGGTGTCCCTGCTGCGGCTCTGCGACTCTTCCGTGGCAGACGTCCTTCGGCTGCACTTCTGTCTGTAGAAAGCACTTGTGTGACCCCACAGAAGTTGTCTTTGCGGGATAGTAGGCCCCCCCTTCCCAGCGGAAGATGCTTGCATGCAGGTGCAGAAGCACTTGGAGAAGTCGCCCGGCATGTGGCACGAAGAGGCGGGGCGCTTGTCCCTCACCAAAGTCAAGGAAATCTTGGCCAACGTGTGTGTAGTCACGCTAGTTGCTGGGCCTGAAGAAGTCCTCGACCGTCTCCGATGCAGCTGTCTCTACTTTGCGAAGACTTCGAGATGCAGCCACATGGCTTTCGCAGCTTTCCTTCTGGGCCACCACAACGACTACTTCCAGGACCTGATTGACTTTACCAGGAAAGATGCTCCTAAACAGCCCCCTTCAGCCTGTGTCAAGCTGACCAGGAAAAAATACAGCCGAGCTGCCATTCCATCAGCCGCTGCCTGGAAGCGCATGGCCACGATCTGCGCAGAAGCTTCTGAGAAGTACAACAAGCGACGAAAGACCGACAAGGGTGAAGCGCAAGCAGCTATGGAAACGACACCGACCAAGCAGGAGCTAGCGGCGGGAAAGAACAAGGATCCCCGCGCGCTAAGCTTGGAGACAATCAGGGACAAGCTCGGAGCAAAGGATTTCCACAGCAACTTTTCAGGAATGCATCTTTGCATCAAGCATGCTGTGACAGTCCAAGAAGCCAAGGAGCACGGGCTCGGAAAGATGATCCTTGGCCTCAAGCACAAGACCACTAGCGCTCCCACCAAGGCGCTCGCAAACCAGCTCTTGCAAGCATGGGTGGTGGAGACGCGTGCGTCCGCTTCTTCGGCCAAATCTAGCAGCTGACCGGTGAGGCTGACCGGTGAGGCAGTCGTATGAGATGGGGTGTGATGAGCGCTCTGTAGCGTAGTTCGCTACAACGTTCATGATGAGATTATGAGATCAGAACCAGACGGCCACGCGCGGCACGCGTCGCAAAACAAGGCCTGCGTGATTGTCCTTTTTGTGCCTTGCGGCTACAACAAGCCGCGGCTTGTCTCGCAGTTCGTCTCTCAGCCCATCACGCAGGATGCCCTGCTCATGCCCACTCTACTGCAGGATGCCTTGCCTTCAAGAACAGGATTCTTGGTCTTGAAGTGCAAGATGCCCTGCCTAAGTGCAGGATGCCCTGCGGTCCAACGCAGGATGCGCTGCCTTCAAGGCCAGCATGCTTGGTCTTGAAGTGCGGGATGCCCTGCTTACATGCACAGCCGCGGTCCAAAGCCTGCGACCGAAACAAAAACCCCGCAAACAGAAAGCAGACAGCCTCAAACAAAATCACCCAGAACCTGCCAAGCCAAAACAACCCAACAACACGGCGGCGCCGTGATGAGCGCGCCCGCTCAATTTCTTCGCGTAGCACTGCACACATGCCGGCACATGATAAGCGCACCTGCGCAAGTGCATTCGCATAGCACTGCGCACATGCTGGCACATCTTATGCGCACCCGCTCAAGTGTATTCCACTGCACATATGCTGGCACATGATAAACACACCCGCTCAAATGCATGCGTGTAGAACTGCGCACATGCTGGCACATGAAAAGCGCACCCGCTCCAGTGTATTCGCCACGCACTGCAAACATGCTGGCACATGATAGGCACACCCGCTCAAGCGTATTCCACTGCGCATATGCTGGGACATGATAAGCGCACCCGCTCAGTTCGCGTAGCACTGCGCACATGCCGGCACATGATGAGCGCACCTGCTCAAGTGCATTCGCATAGCACTGCGCACATGCTGGCACATGATAAGCACACCCGCTCAAGTGTACTCGCGTAGCACTGCACACATGCTGACACATGGTATAAGCGCGCCTGCTCAAGTGTACTGGCCTAGCGCTGCACACATGCTGGCATATTAATAGGATAAGCACACTCGCTCAAGTGTACTGGCCTAGCACTGCGCGCATGCTGGCGCGTGATAAGCGCACCCGCTCCAGTGTATTCGCCCAGCGCTGCTCACATGCTGGAACATGATAAGCAGTCCCGCTCCAGTGTATTCGTCTAGCACCGCACTTATGCGGGCGCATGATAAGCACGCCCCCTCAAGTGTATTCGCGTAGCACTGCACACATGCCGGCACATGATAAGCGCACCCGCTCCAGTGAATTCGCCTAGCAATGCACACATGCTGGCGCATGATAAGCGCACCCGCTCAAGACTTGAGCGGGTTGTATTCCACTGCACATATGCTGGCGCATTACAAGCGCACCCGCTCAAGTGCATGCGTGTAGCACTGCACGCACGCTGGCACATGACATATTCGCCAAGCACTGCACACAGGCTAACAGATGATACGCGCGCCCGCTCAAGTGTACTGGCCTCGCACTGCGCACATGCTGGCACATGATAAGCGCGCCCGCTCCAGTGTACTCGCCTAGCACTGCACACATGCTGGCATATGATAAGCGCACCCGCTCCAGCGCATTCGCCTAGCAATGCACACATGCTGC